TTTTGGCCAACTCCCCTAGGTGAACTGCCAATGGTCCACCAACCCGGCTATAGCCCCGGATATCGGCTTTTCGTCCTCTCACTTTGGTGGGAAAGAAGGAGTGGGCAGTGAGTAGGGCTTCCTTAGCAGAGGCTATTTGAGACGCTTGGGCGTATGGGAGCATTTCGTGAGGTGCACGGGCAGGGTGACCAGCCGCAACCCTAAACACCCACCCCCGACCATACTAAGGCTTTTGGAGGCAGCATATGCACCGACTAATTGCAATTCTGATACCCAAAAGGATGCCTTCTACGATGAATTCATCGATCTCATTCGGATGAGTTAAAGCTCCGACATAGTTGTACTTGCAGGTGACTTCAAAGCGCAGGATGGAAAACTGAGCCATCAGAAGCTTGCCTAAGTGGTAGTTATGCTCTACCCTGCCAACGGACAGATAATGGCGTTCAACTTCTTCAGTTCTGCGCAGCCCAGCATCTGTTCCTATCAAGCACCAACTTCCGACACAGCTCTCGACGGCCGGCAACGTCGGGCTCCGATTCAACAGGTACGCTAACTCAAATCGACCACATAGCAGTAAGTTACCGTTGGCATGGCTCAGTGCAAAATTGCAGGTCCTATTGGACCACCTACCTTGAGTCTGACCATGCATTAGTTTTGATGCAGTTCACTGTCCGACTTACTGGTCAACGACAAAACCAGAAAACTCGTATTGCTCATCATGGACTATCTGTCCCAGCCGTTCGTGCACTCTATGACTCAGAGCTAGTGCGTGAGCTAAGCTCGTCTCAACGTGGTGATGTAGGCGAGCAGTGGGATCAGATTAGGCGAGGGATGCATTCCGCAGCGAATGTTGCTTGTGGGTCTGAGCCTCAAACCCGTCGGAGGCATTGGATATCTCAGGAGTCAGCATCTTTGATGGAGCAAAAACGACAAGTCCCGACCTGCTCGGATCAAATTAGAGTTAGGTGACATCTACAACGGCAGCTCACGAAGAGACTCAAGAATGACCGTGAGAACTGGTGGGCAACAATAGCTAGTGAAGTGCAAGTAGCAGCTGCATCGAGGAATAGTCAAGGACTTTCCGACTGATACGTGATACGGGAGGTCGGCGAACTCCAGTTAGTGAAGCAGTCTGCGATAAGAGAGGACAAGCTATTCACAATAGGATCAACGACTCGATCGCTAGGCAGAATACTCCAGTGAACAGTTCAGCTGGCCTGCCACTAACTAGGTTGCTTCATCCGCGACCGAAGCGCCTTGGGCAGTGGCGTGCGATCGTCCAACGGAAGCAGAAGTTCAGCCTCTGAAGCGAGGAAAGGCAGCAGGACCATGTGAGGTCCCTCCCACCATATTAAGACGGGGGGGGGGGGTGATAACATTGTAGGCTCTATTACTACCCTACTGCGCAACGTTTGGACGCAAGAGTGCGTTCGTTCATCGTGGGGTGAATCCCTGATCGTTCACATTTTCAAGAAAGGATCTGGCAACGATTGCGAAAACCACCGCGGGATCAGTTTGATCTCGATCGTCACCAAAGTGCTAGCCTCGGTCAGAATTCGATGTCTGACTCCTTTAAGAGAGATCAACATCCGCGATAAGCAAGCCGGATTCCGGCCTGGCCGTGAATGTATTGATCAAATTTTTGCGTTGCGTCAGATCCTTGAGCTGCGTCACACCCAACACCGAATAACGATCACAGTGTTCCTTGACCTAAAAGGAGCTTTCGACTCAGTTGACCGCGAAGCTCTGATGGACTCCCTTCTTCGAAAAGCAATGCTTCAGAGGTGCGTTACCTTACTGAGGTCATTGTACTCGCATACCTCTGGTCGTGTAAGGGTTTATGATGAACTAAGTAGACCATTCGTCACCAACAGCAGCGTTCTTCAAGGGTGTCCTCTCTCACCGTTCCTGTTTAATTTTGTCGTACACGAAATACTGGAGAACGCACTAAAGGGAATCCGAAACGTAGGTATTAAATGGGCAGCTGGAGAAAAGCTGTGCGATTTGGAGTACGCCGATAACATAGTCTGTCTGTTCGAATATATAGAGGACGCGCAAAGCGCACTTGATGGACTAACAAGTGCAGTAGCCAC